GGCTACAGTGAGATTCTCTAAGAAAATGCAGAATGAATGGGAAAGAAGTGATGCTATAAATATTTACTGAGAAGATAACTAGGTTCCTGCGTGCTGGGCCAATTATGATGTACTAAATATATTAGTAAAATGCTTAAAAAATCGGGAGGATTTGTGTGGGTCTTGGGGTGGGGTTGGTTTGTTTTAGAAAGTGAAATAAAAGGCACTATGTTATTGTCGTGTCAGTTTTATTAAGCCTGAATCACAATGGCATACCCAGGGAAGGACACATGAAACCCACATTAATGCAAATTAATTCGTTATGAGTTGCAGCGCTGTGACTGCTAAGTGGAGTAATGATGGGGGCATCATTTAAAGAGTGTTCGTGAAGCTAGCAACTTTCTGTGAAAATGCTGTGTGAGGAACATGGCTCAGCACGTGAGCCTGGGTGCTTTGGTGGGCTAGAAATGTGTTTTGTTCAGAAGCAGGAAAGTTGATTCACTTTATACCTTCCCCCCTCCAGCCCCCAAGCAGTTTAAGAACTTTGTTTTAATGTGTAAAGAAAATCAGCTAGTTTTTCCTCAAAAATCAACCCAGAAATGCCGATCACCATCCCCAAAGTTCAACTTCAACATTTCTTTTTTATTTTCTTTTTCAATTTTGCAAGAGATTGTAGCACAAAGTGGAAAAAAACGAACGTGTAGCATCCCCCCATAGACCTATAGATGTAACTTTCTTGAAGCAATTTTTTCCTTTTTTTTTTTTTCTTCTTACAGGATTTTGGTCTCAGGCAATGTTGCAAGTCAATACTTCTTTCCCCAAATGTGAGTAGGTGGATGTGTGTGGAAGCTGTAAAAGTTAATGATCGCTCTCTGACTCATAGCTGATGGTTTCAGGTTGAGGAAAAAGAAAAGAAAAAAAAATTAATGAGGGTAAATAGACATTTGGTGGAACATGGGAGACAGTGGGAGAGGTTGTTCTGTCTGAAGGCCTGCGTTTTGTTGCAGCAGGATTTCTGGAGAATGCCAGGAAGTGGAAAGGGGGTGCCTTTGTTTAAGTTGTTGTTTTAGGATGGAGTAAGTGTTCAGTGGCTGGATCTTTGCAGGAATGCTGAAGCCCACGTAGCTACCAGTCAGAGCTGGTTTTGCCTCCCCAAGGGGAAGTCAGAGGCCCCCTGGACACTTTTTAAAAGGGCAGGCAGGAGCCCAGAGTCCTGGCCAGAAGTTCACTTCCCATTAAATGTAAGAGGCTCCCCACAGAGGGGTGCTGTGCTGTTCCTGACCTGAAAATGACTGATGATGTAAGAAAAAGCCTTAGATATTATTATTATCATCATTATTTTAAAAAACGGCTCTGTCTTTTACGCGAATGGCATGGGAATTAAACTTCAAGTGGCTGATGATGGTAGCTACAGGGTAAATAAAAAGGAAGGAAAGTGGACCAAAAGACCTCCAAAACCAAAACTTTGCAGGAAATGAATCTGGATTTATTATTATTTTTTTTTAATAAAATAGAAAGCCAAGTGATTCATGAAGCTGAACATAAAGCAAATGCCCCACCTCATCCCCATTTAGTGGAATGAACAGGCATCAAAAAGGAATCTTCACCACATTGGAAGTTTACCTGGAGCTGGAAAAACCAACATAGGGTTTTGATTTTTTTTTTAGTCACCTTTGAGGTTGTAAAAAGCCCATTCCTCTCCTCTCTGACGGCTTGTATCTGAGACATCACGTTTAGGGCCAGTAGTGGTGATGAGGAATAAAATGAGAGAAATCAAGAGATGCTAATCATCAGGGGAGCAGTTAACCGGAAGATGTTGGTTTTCCAGTTGCTGGCGAATCGGGCACCCCCGTGCTGGGCACAGCCACCTCTTCCTGGCGCTTCCTCAGGACAAGTGAGGGCCAGGTCACCCTCGGGTGTGAGAATGCGTGGGTGGGCTTGGCCGCTGTAAACATACACACCGGAAGGGGAGGTCTATTTTGTGAGAGTTTTACAGGAAGGAATTAATTGGAAAGTACCTTGGAGTGCTCATTTGGTGGCACCCCTGGGAGGGAGGCACCCCGTTGAGGGCCTGCTGCATGCCCAGGGTACAACAGCCACAGTGGCTGGGAGAGGAAGTGACGTCAGTGCTGCAGGTGACCAATAGCAGGGCGGTCCCAAGAGTCGAGGATTGTGGGAACCTGGTTCTTAAACCCAGATAAGCCTTAGAGAGCCCTGTGTCTTGTCCTGGATCTTGCAACCTCCCCATCTCTTCCAAAAAAAAAAAAAAAAAGCAGAGAGCCAACCATCTCTTGTTCTCTCCTGCCTTACAGCTTTTTACAGAGATATAAATGCAGGCATGTTGCAGTTTAGAATGCCAAGGTTTTACAGAGTCCTTGTATTTTATCTTTGTCTTAAAAAGCTAGACCATAACGAACAAGGCATCTGTGTGTTTTACAGGGAAGGAAAAAGCAGTTTGAAACGTGTTTTAGAAAGGGGACCGTTGGGGAAAAGAGGGGCTGGAAGCCCAAAGGGGAACCAAGAAAATGGTGAAGCCTTCGTCGCTGTAGCTGGAGGAAGTCGAGCTCAAAATCCCTCCAACACCGTGGTTACTGGCTGGGAGGGAATATGCATGGAGCTTGTGCTGTGGGTAATGATGAGCTGGTCCAGGTTATACTGTGTGTCTGGACACCTGAGGAGGGAAGTGACATTGCTTGGGGGTGCTAGGATGGTGTGTGCGTGAAGGTTAAATTAACTTTGTCCTACCAGAGTCGTCAGGACGGGCAGCTGCACCTTGACTGTTTTAATTGCAGCTTTCTCTCTGGGTTGCATTGTTGTTTGGGTGGTGATGAACGCCAGGATTAAGACTGGAACCCGACAAGTGAAAATTGAATTTGGATTAGCCACAGTTTCATTAATGTATTCATAGGGCTGTGATTATATGAAATTTTGTTTCCACGACCCTGTACTTAGTTATCAGGTGTCCATTCAATTTTAATTGACAATATAAGATTCCTGTGGTTACCCTGAGTACAGATTGCCTAGGGCTCCGCAGGGTCTGTGGGAAGCAAAGCTTGGACAAGTTTCCATTAAGCTCTGAATCAGGCCGTTGGAAAAGAGGAGAAGAAAACCCGCTGAAAAGGGGGGGACACGTTGTTAGTGTTGCCTTCTCTACTTAGAAGGAGAACACCCCCTCTCCGACAAGAGCTGCTCTCCAGCCAAGAATTCCAAACTCGCAGAGCAACCTGTCTCGTGCACAAAAGTTGTTTTTAACAAAAGTTGTTTTAGCACGACGCAGCATTGTCACAGTAATTAGTGCAATCTCCGCTTACTGACTGGCAGTTTTCACAAAAAAGGACGGCGGAGGAGGGGGGGCAAGGGGGTGGGGGAGCGGGGCAAAGGGTGCAAATTCATCCTTCTTTTGCAGCAATCCACTTTGGATGACCTGCTTCTGAGTCTGTGTGGGGGCTGTGTGCATTGGGGGGGCATATCTTCACTTGCTCAGCATTCATCCTGGCTTGTTTCAGGGAGTGTGGTTCATTACTCTGCCTTGACAGGTGAGAAAATGCTTTTGTTGGGTCCACCTTTCCTGTGCCCCCTTTTAACTTTGATTAATATTGTGTTCTGGGACAAGCAGACTCTTAATAGATCCAGGCAGTATTTTTGTTTATTGGTGACAGATAAAATGCTCTCAGAACCAAAAATGGGAACTTACAGCCTTATGTCATGGGCAATATAGCTTTAGACTGTTTTTTAAAATGTGATTGCTGCTGTGTTGTGTTTATTTTGAGTTGGTTCAGAAGTTCTTATGTGAAACCCCCTTCCCATTCCCCCTCCTCCTGTTATTTATGGACTGAATAATTTTTTTTTGGCAGGGAGGAAGATTTAAACGAATTGGGTCTAGAACCCTTGCAGGCTAGGTTACATGTGGCTGTACAGAGTGTTCCGATAATGGTAATGGTAATAGTAGCAGTGGTAGCGATAGTATGTTATAATCACACCGATCCCTGTTTGGAAACACCACCAGGCCTATTGCTGTGAGGCGGGGATGGGCAGCAATTTCGTAGGACCATCCGATTCTTCACCATTTGTGTGTAAATGGCAAATTGAAATGCATTTTCAGATATTGCTGAGATTCTGTAGAGATTGTTGTAGTGTTTATGAAGGAAATCAGGTGGTGTTTGTTTTCCCAATTGGTAGGGTTCCAAGATTAACAGGTGCTATTTGGGAAAGAAAGAATTTGGTGAAGAATCGTGGTATTCCTTTCTCTGTGGGGATGCACACTTTGATGGGGAAACGGTAGGGTTTCCGAGGGGAAGACCCGGGAGAGACGACAGGACTTTCCTGTGCAGGGTCTAGGTCAGTGGTCGGCAAACTGCGGCTCCTTGAGTGTGGCTCTTCCACAAAATACCACGTGCGGGCGCGCACGTACAGTGCGATTGAAACTTTGTGGCCACACTCAAGGGGCCAAAGAGCCGCATGTGGCTCGCGAGCCGCAGTTTGCCGACCACTGGTCTAGGTGAACATTCACTCACGGGCCACCAAGTGGTCTTCCTTCAGAAAACTTGGTGGCTGTTTGACGGTGGTTGGCTCCCTCTCTGGGGAAGTGGGGATACCTAGAGTGCGGGCTCTCCGGAGCTGTCCTGGGCCACATAGCTTAGTCATTGTGGAAGAATGTGCTATAGGAGACCTGGGGTGGCCCCTGAATTCTGCCTGACACATTTGTTTTCCCCAAAATAGACTTGAGTTTGCAAGGAGTTAGAGCCCAGTCATTAGCACCGTGGGGGCTTGTCTACCTGTGGCGGTCTTGTGGCTTCTCATAACCCTTTCTCTCCCACGCTCTGCCTCTGGCCTACATGTTGCAATTCTGATGACCTGTGCAGCACAGTTAATTTTTCTGCAGCATCCTGCTCAGCACACTGGCTTCTTATGTCTAAATGGGCGTCCGTCCCTTCCCTTTTCATGTTACTGATTCTCACTCCTGGCCCCCTCCCCCCACTTCCTTTTTGCTTATTGAATAGGGCTCTTTTTTTTTTTTAAATTTACCTTAGATTATTATGATCATCTTATCCATAGCAACAAATAAGATACACGGGTCTCGATTGAATGCCAATGCTGCAGTTCAATCTAGGAAGGTTTGTCTGCTATTCATAAACTGCTTAAGATGTTTCCTTGTAGTTTGTGACATAAGCAGAACGCTTTGATTTGGTTTCTTTCTACAGCTCCATTTTCAGTCCGGGAGCACACATTACTCTGCGTACAAAACGATTGAACACCAGATTGCAATTCAGGTAGGAAATGCAACAGATCCTGAAGCTTGAATTGTCAAATGTGTAGGTCTCTTGTGTCTTTCATTCTCTACCCCTTCCCTCAACCTAGATGATGATGATGATGATGATGATGATGTTGGCAATGACGATGATGGTGATGGTAGTGATGATGGTGGTGGTGATGACGATGGTGGTGATGGCGGTGGTGGTGGTGGTTGATTGGGGGAGGTAGGAAGTAAAGAATAAACAAGAGCAGAAGATGTGCTGCTGAAATGATTTGAAGATATGGGAAGAAAGAGAAGCCTGTGTTTTTGTGTGAAGAGTCTCTTGTTCAGGCATAATGGGCACACAGACCCCAGCTCGGCTACTGTGTTTTGCTTAGGGAGGGGTCTTAAACTGGGAGTAAAAAGAGGCGACAGAAAGTGACCGGGAAGAGTGGAGGGGGGAGATGGGAGAGGAGGCTGTGTGACAGCCAGAGAGTTGTTCCGGTGGATCAAAATCATGTTAAGTGGTGCTAAGAATATCACTTTTGACCTGATTGTCCTGAAATGTTGATTTCTCCTGGGCCTGTTGATATATGACACTAACAGTGCTGGAAGGGAAAGGCGACAGATCCCAGCTTCTGATGAGTGTCCTGTTTCCTGCTCACGTAGTACTTCCATTCTCTTAAATCCAAAGGCTAAACAAATCATGAACTAATATAGACTCCGAGCTGAACTGATGCCAGCAGAATGCGGTTGTGGAGCGAGAGCAGACTAATACGATTTTCGTCTGTCTGTCTGGCCTGGCCTGGCCTGGCTTTGCCAGGATGGATGGGCCTCCTGGTGTAACTGATGGGGCTGAACCTCCTTGGGTCTTCTGACTTAACCCTTTGAAGGAGGCTTTGACACCAGTCGTTGTTGTGTGCAAGTCTGGCACTGGGGTCTTCTCTTCTCAGAAGTCGCTGTCGGTGGGTTGAATGATTTACTTGTCCCAGCGTTCCCTGCCTTGTAGTTACCCTTGCCGATAACTTGGGGGGGTACGGGCATGGAGTCTCCCGGAACTCCAGCTGCATGATTTGTGCACCATACCACCAGGGGAAACTATGACTCAGCAGGCATTTTTATTTGGTGGATCCCTAATATTTTTGTACCCATTTCAAGGTGACGGTAACTGATTTTAAAAATATTTCTATGACTTCTGAAGTTGTGCTGGCTGATCTGTGTGTGTATTTGAGGGGAAAGTGTGACCTTGGTTTTACCCTCCCAACCCCCCAAATATTTTCAGGACTGGTGTCTTTAGTTGGGCCTCCAGTTGTTCTTGCTGGCACACGTCTGGTGGACCCTTGTCCCTCTTGATTAATGGCACAGTGAGTCTTGCTCCCAGAAGCTGGTGTAGACTCGGGGTTTGGTTAGAGAACATGCCCAAACCCGGACTCCCAATGAATGGAGGGCTGAGCAGTGTCCTGGGGCCTATGACATCTTGGGGAGTGCTGGAAGAGCCTGTTGCCCGGGGTGTGGGAATTGTGGAGACTGAATAGCGTAGTGATCCCTATCTTGGTGTGGAAAGGCTGGCTGGGGCCATGGCACTGGGAGACCAGCCGAGACCAGACCAGCTGTTGTGTCTTTACACCCCGCTGAAGCGGCCCTTGTTAGGCCGGGCAGCTCGTCTTTTCTCCAAACCACCTGGCACGGCGCGGGCCATGGGAAGCCCTTTCTCAGGAGGAAGATGGAGTAAATTACAGAGCTCATTGTTTGGAGGACTGAAACCATCACTATTCCTCCATGAACAGGTAGTATTGTTCTGCCCTGCTTCTGTTTGCCGAGGCTGGATGCCCATGTGGGCAAACAGAGAGACGTTTTATCAGATGCCCAGCACCGCATGCTCTCAGTGTCGTGTCCCTCCCCCCCACCCTGCCGGACCAGGACCAGGCCACGCCAAATGGCAGCTAGCTGTAATTCTAGTTGGATCATCAAAGAATAAATGGGGGGGGGGGGAAGAAAAGACAAAAGAAGCAAAGGGGAAAAAAGAGGAAACCTCAGACACACAAAAATGGTTCCCAAGGCCCATGGCGGCTCAACCATGAGGTGGGGTGGGAGGAGAGGGTGGCATTGAGTTGGTGAGCAGGAGAGCAGCCGTGTCCCCTTGCTCTGGTCTCTAGGATAAGGCTTAAATGCAACGTGCGATGGTCAGGGCCGAATTTTCTTTCCTGGAAACTTAAACTGGTTTAGCCTTAATAAATACTGTATTTCAGTATGAGCTGAGCTTGTTGCTCTCCTAAGCTATATCCTAAAATAACCTCGCGTAGTATGATACCGTGTACCACATGAGGTTCATCCCCCTTCCCCTCCCCTTGCCATCCCTCCTGTAATCTCAGGGCTTGGCCAAGTTCACCGTTTATATGAATGGACGCTGAGTGATTCTGTAGACAGAATCATGTTCTTGTCAAAGGTATGGACACAATATCAATGGCTGTGTTGGGATCTTCCCCCACTTTTGACAACCTCCTGACTCCTCTCAGTTTTGAAAAGACAAAAGTAACAAAAATGATTCTCTCTAAACGGTTAGCACAAATGTATATGGAATGAAAATTTAACCACTGAACTACATCTTTTTTTTAGACGTAGTTATTTGACTATTGACTTTTTAAAAGTTCTATTGAAGTGCAGAACTCAGATCTTTAATGGAGAGAGGATGAACTTTTACCCACATCAGTATAGTATAGAATGGGTTTCGGATACTTGTTCTGTAAAGGGCCAGATAGTGAGTATTTTAGGCTTCGTGGGCCATACAATCTCTATGGCAACTACTCAGCCCAAAAATAGTACCTGAAGGCATAGCTGTGACTGTGTCTCAATGAAACTTTATAAAATCCGACAGTGGCTGGATGTGGCTCAGGGACTGTAGTTTGCTTTCCCTGGTAAAGAATATTAGCAACTTCCCAGAAGTCTCTTGTTCTCTTCCCAGTCATCCTTCCCGGGCCTCCAGTAAAAATCCTCACCAAGGAATAGTTTTAGCTATCCTCATGGATGAGTTTTGCCTGGCCTTTAGCTTCTTAGAAATGGAGTTGTACAGAATATACTGTCTCATGCCTGGCCCCACTCAGCACCATGCCTGTGTGTAGCAATAATTTGCTTTTTTACGGCTGCATAGCATTCCACGTCGGAATGGGGCACATTGCATGTAGTTTTTCTGCGTTGTTGGATATTTGCTTCCAAAGTTCTGCTGTTAGGAATAAGCCCCTCGTCACACTCTCCCCACAGCTGTTCATACACAGGAGTCGACTTGGAGAGGCACAGGGCAGTGTGTGTGCTTAGGTTCACATTGACCTTTCGACAGACTTTGACACTGGATTTCAAGTGTTATCATGGAGATGCTCTGCATGGCGGTTGTTAGGTATGTGAGTGATATTTATGAGGAGGAGCAGTAAGATAAGATTCCTTTGCCCAGAGTCCAGTACAGGCCCCTGCACGTAGTGGTTTGGCCCCGCCTCAGCTTCTAGGAGCTCCTCCCATCCTCTCCATTAACCTGGGGGAGGTTTATCGGGGGGGGAGGTTTAGCGGGTTGCGGGGCAGAGGTGGGCCCACACTGCAGATTGCTCCGAGGGAGGCCCTGCAAGCGATTAGGATCCATGTTTAGGCACTTCTGTTGCCTCCCTGAGGAGAGCTCTCCCAACACTCTTCCACTCATCATTATTCCAACCCCAAGAGCAGGGTTGTAAGCAAGGTCAAGACCCACAGATGTTTCCCTTGGTTTTCAGAAGGGCTACTTCAGGACCAATTAAGCCTTTGTTTTAAGAGTATTTTGGCCGATGGTTGATGTTTTAACACCAAGTCAGATGTGATTTAGGAAAAAAAATACTCCGCACGCAGGAAAAACAAACCAAGTAGACCTTTCTTGGTTGTTTTTCTTTTAAGATGTGAAATGGCTTGTGTGTGTGTGTGTGTGTGTGTGTGTGTATGCATGCTGCACGCACATGCTTGTGTGTGCGCAAAGACAACTAGGAGAGGATCCAGAAGAAATGGACCATTTTATTTGTTTAGACAGCTGAGCGGTGGAGACCTTGCTGTGGGTGTTGTCTTCCCTCTTGTCCTCAGGCTTGCAAGTTCCCATCTGAGCTGCACCAGGGCATCCCCCTCCTGCTTGGTCTTAGAGCTCCTCTGCCATGATTCAGGAAGGCCTGAGGGCCCTCTTCCAGGGCCTGGGTGCTTTGTGGAGCCCGAGAGAGAAGGATAGAACTGGAGAGCGTCCTTGCGCCCTTTTGGCCCCTTATTCCTGGATGTGAACTTGACGTGTAGTTTTGTCTGTGTCTTAAGATTCCCAAGGTGCTATGGCTTGGAGTCCATCTCTTAGACCAAGTAGACCCTTGGCACTTGTGATCAAAGTATCCAGAGATGAGTAGTAGTGGATGTGAGCAGAATGTTTGCGAGGGCTCCTGGCTTTACTCCAGTTCACGTTTCTGGTGTAGTGTCTTGTGTTCAAGCACATCCTCATACGTTCCCTGGCCTTTCAATTTTCACGAGGATTTGCTCTCTCATCTGAGGAGCAAATTTAGGCTAAGTAGGAGAACTCCCAGAGGCAGATTCCGTTCTTGGTATAATCACTTCTGACTTTTCCTTTAGACCCATTGCCACGCCTGTTTGTGAGGTTTCATCTCCATTTCCCACTAAGAATGAAGTATGGTATGTGTGTGTGTGTGTGTGTGTGTGCGCGCGTGCCTGCGCCATTTCACTAGGGTAGTTGGATAAAGCCCATGGATGCCAATGGACTAATTCGAAAGGTTCATTCACTTGTTACAGTGTTGCTTTAGTCTATCTAATTTAAGTCCAAACCTCAGAATGCTCATTCATTCATTCAAAAATATTTATTGTGCATCTACTGTGTGCCTGGGGAATTCATCAATGAGCAAAACAGACAAAAGCCGCTTGCTGTCTCCCAGTGATGTTTTAGATATGGGTTTCTAAGCACCCCACTCCCCTTGGTCTCTGATTGAGTGGGTTTCAAGCGCAGTCAGGGGGTTGCCTTTTTAATCAGGGTTCTGA